TTCTTCTATTAAACAATACAACTACTGTATCGATCTCTCTCTCGACGTTTGGAGGATAATGTTGCCAACCAATTAATCAGACGATATGGCGGCAAGGATGTCCACCTTCGGCACTACCGGTAATACTACGTACTACGTAGTATTACTGGCACTTACTACGTAGTACGTAGTAAGTGCCAGTAATTTTAAATCTCTCTTTTAAATTTACAATTTTAATCGTGAGTCAAAGATAGACCAGATCTAGAAAAATGAGAGCTTTACTCCTCGTAACATTCATTGATCACCTGGCATGTAAGGTAACATTCCTTGTTTAAGTGTCCTATTTCATCTGCTTTTGGGTAGATTGCTGGCGGAGCTGTAGCCTTTGGATGCTTGTATGATTTCCCGTGCGATCTTCTTCTCTTCCTTGAGTTGCTGCAGTTTCTCTCGCTGACGAGCATTGTGAAGTGCGTCATGGCGCTTCATTTGTACGCGACGACGCAGCTCTTCCTCTTCTCGCTGTTTCTTTCTCTCGGCCTCCTCCGCCAGCTTGAACTCCTGGTCGATTATAAATAGCTTGGACTTCTGCTTGTCGAGATCCACGATTTCGACCACGTTGATCGATGAGTCCAAGCTCGTTCAGATGGCTCTGCAGCGGGCGACTTTCGAAGTGGTGACGCAAGTTGCGGTCCAACAGCGCGTTGTACTGCGGGCAGACGATCCTGATGCACGCCCGACAAGTTGAAGCCGCTCTCGCGCTGACGGAGATACTCGTCGCTTCTCTTCTTTGACATGGTCATAATCTCGCTCGCGGTCTTGTGCGCTCTACGTTTCGCGACTGAACGTCGCTCTACTTCTGCGTCATAAGACCCAGCACCTGGTCCGAAAATAACCCATGCAACGTTCACTTCACAGTTGGAATAGCTGCAACCGACACCGCCATCCAGTACGACGCGTTCAGACGCTCCCATGGCTTCCAGCTATTCATCAGACGCTCGTTGGTGGACTGGCGGACTTCAAATCGGAACAAGTAGTCGACATTTTGATTCGTGAGTTTGTCCAGCATGTCTGTGATAGTTTGAACCTCGGCGGCGTCACTCGCTGTAGCATCCAGACCGCCAGCTACTTGAAGCAAGGCCTGCATTGATAGTAATACTTCTCGCGTAAGATACACCGTCCGCAATGCCGTGTCATCTGTCCCCATGTTCACACACGCGAAGGCTTCCACACCACTCGGAAACTTGAATCGATTTGGCCCAATCAGCGGCATCATCTTGACAACGCGTGCGTCCCAATACACAGAGTTGGACGAGTCAGCAACTGTAGCGTCTTCACCTTGTTCGTGAGCCTGAAGATCTTGAGTAAGTCGTTCCTGTTCCACCACCTCGACATGCTCGTTACATTCCTGCGAGGGCACAAAGTACATTCGTAAGATATCTCGCTCCACATATTTCTTCAGTTGAATGAGTTCTTCAGCGAAACTGGTGGCGAG